GAAGACACTGCCGAGGGGCGCGCCAGCAGCTGAGGGAAGTGTCAGCAGTAGAGAATGAGGAATAGACGAGAGGATTTACCGTATGCGCTGAAGGCAAAGTTCTTCGCCTTGCTCGGTGGAAATGTTACGCCTAGAATCCCAATGGCCGTGGGCACATTGGCAGCGGCCCCCTTTTGCAAGTTTGTGAGCGCGATGAGAGACACTTAGACTCGTTTCGTGTACTCACAAGCCCCTGCAAACCCCGGAACAAGTTGAAGCCTATCTCATTCGGGATGAAAGGGTTTACGATCATGGTCGCCGCCACGAACGCACTCCCTAGGATGAAAATCGACCGTTTACCGTAGATGTCGGCTATGCGACCCCACAAGAGCAAAAAGCACCCGAAAGTGAGGGCGTACGAGGAAATAACCCATTGCTGCCTGCTTTCGGGAATGTTCAGATCGTCGCCGATCGACGGCAAGATGATGACAACCGACTGGATCGAGAGGGTCTGCTCATGTTTAGCACAGGAGAGCTCTCGGATGCGAAGAGCAATGGCACGTACGTTCAGAAAGCTAGCGCCTGTTACTGTCGCGACCAGAGCAATGCATCTCGCCTTTGAAAATGGCAATTTTGACTTGGTTGGACCATCGTGTTCATCCGGCCCGGCCTCGACCGCGTGATCCGACTGGGCCAAGTTCTCTGCTTCGATAATATCGAAATCCTCCTGTCTCTTCTTCTCACCGTACCCGGTATCCCCGGCAGGGTGTTGCTGTATGTCCAGCTGTCTTGTCATTTCTGCGGTAGGAGTAGCAAAATCGCAGCAATGTCGGCGACCCGGCGTACATCTCGAGTCTGAAATCGGCAGCGCACCTTTCAGGCCCCGACGAGCTCATATATGTACCTTGTTCGCAGCTTATCCGCCATCGCCACCATGGAAGACGCAACATCTCAGCCGGCCTCTTCTGTGCAGATAGATTAGCATCCCGATGCGACCTTTCCGGAAGAGGCAGCATGAACAGGCCGGGTCTTCACGAGAGCTCCCCTCCTCGGGCCAATCACGGCTGCTGCTGTTGATGAGCGTACATGGCGAGCAGAACGGCGCATCGCAAACACTTTCTACCGCTCCTTTCACGGAACCGGTATCGGTCCTCGAGGAATGATGTTTCCCCGAGCACGGACATAGTAGGTTAGGTATCGGGGATGGTTTGCCTAGTGCCAAGAACCAGCTTAGAAGCATGAGTCGGTGCTTTGCTGGCTTACAGCGAACCCACTATACTGTACAGATGACTCGATACCTAGATATATGAATATACCTACCTAGGTAAATACCTAGGTATATATGAAGCCAAGCTATGATCTACCATCAGTCTTCTACCTTGCATGTCTCCGGAGGTCTGTGTATCTCCCAAGGTATATACATACCTAGGTAGTGTATGCATCTATACCGTACTGATACGAACATGAAGCAGCTTAGACCCACCACCGCCATTGCTGCCTTGAAGATCGAGGTGTGAAGTCACGCTACTGCGCGCTTCATTGGCGTTCGCTGTGCCTTCCTGCGCGTGTGCTGCCTGGAGGAAAGGGGAGGAAGAAGGAGGAAGAGGCGCTCTGCCCAGGTCCTTCCTGGTATTTATTCCAAGCTGATAACCTCGAAACTCTAATTCCAACTCGATCTTCTCTCCATCTTCACCCGACCTACAATCTTCTATCTTCAGTCCAGTGATTTTTATTCTTCCCTATTGGTCTTCCATCGAGTCCATTGTCCGTGTCTATGGTAGGTCTTAGGTACCGCTAGTATCACGTTCCCACAGGGTCAGTGCACTCCACTCCGCGATGCCTGCGAAGAAGACCGCTGCACCAGCTGCACCGCCGTTGGACGGATGCAGTGTTGCTATTAGCGGCACCATCCCCGGCCATACTCAAGCAGCCATCGAGAGAGACTTCATAGCAGTCCTCGGCGCTTCTCTGGCTAGATCTGTCACGGCGTCGACGACGCATCTCGTCACCACCGAGCCGGACTACAAGAAACCCTCAGTCAAGGTCAAGGCTGCACAATCCCACGATGTCGCCATTGTTTCCTTCCAATGGCTCCAGGATTCACTTGACGAGAAGAAACGCATGACTGAGGACGACTATGCCTTCAGCTCTACACAGCCTCAATCTGGCACAAACGGCAATGCTCGAAAGCGCCGGGCACCCGCAAAGCCCGCAGATGACGACGATGACCTGCCATCTCAGACCAAGAGGACCAAGCCTCTAGAGGCTGACACTCTAGACCCGAATGGCAGAAGAGATAAGGTCGCCGACGGCCAGATTGCCAAATCTTTAGACATCAGAGTCCCGATCGATGAGGGCGCCGAGAGGGCGTTCCCACAATACGAGGTCTACATTGACGGCGATGGTGTCATCTACGACGCCTCCCTGAATCAGACCAATGCCTCTTGGAATAATAACAAATTCTATCGAATCCAGGTATGTACAGCAACCACTCCGTTTCAATTCATTTGAATCGTCGCATAGTCAACGAAACGAACGACTTGCTAATTACCCCGTTTAGTTGCTTCGTTCCTACAATGGGCATTTCGGTACTTGGACAAGATGGGGACGTGTCGGAGAACAGTGCGTATCTCTCTATGTGTTGTCTTCCCCTACCCCCTAGTCTATCTCGGAGCAAACATGCTTCAGTTGGGCTGGTGCAGGCCTCGTCTGTCCCAGAACACACCCAAGTCCTTGCAACACCCGTCCCAAGAAAGTAATGCTGATTCTTGTTACAGTGGCCAAAGCAAGGCTCTAGGCCGAGGGGGCTTGAACGACGCTCTCCACGAGTTCAACAGCAAGTTCAAACTCAAGACTGGTCTTTCATGGTCTGATCGGACGGAGCCTCCAAAACGTGGAAAGTATGCGTTCATCGAGAGAAGCGTACGTATATTTCTGTAACCTTCATTAAAAGCTGAAATCTGACTGCCGGTATTAGTATGAACCAGACTCGGAAGACGATGATGCTAAGAATACGAACGATGCTGCCAAAAAAGACGATGTCAAGGAACCTGAGTCGATGTTGCCCAAGCCCGTCCAGGAGCTTATGCAGCTTATCTTCAACCAGCAGTTCTTCGCCGCGACCATGGCCGATTTGAACTACGATGCTACCAAGCTTCCCCTAGGCAAGCTCAGCAAAAGTATCGTTACTCGAGGATTCCAAGCCTTAAAGGACCTCTCGGCTCTCTTGGACAACCCGTCATTGAGTACGTCTCAATACGGGACTAACCTCCCTGCCGCGTTGGAGCAGCTGTCGAACCTCTATTTCACACTCATCCCTCATTCATTCGGGAGGAACAACCCGCCTGTCATTCGAGACTTGACTTTGCTCAAACGAGAAATAGAGCTTCTCGAGAGCTTAGGTGGTATGAAGGACGCCTCTCTGGTAATGAAGACAGAAGAGATGGAAATGAACATGCTTGATCGGCAATTCCGCGGCTTGGGAATGCAAGAGATGACGCCGCTCAGCAAGACCAGCGACGAGTTCAAGCAATTGCATGACTATCTGATGCAGACAAAAGGTGCAACTCACACTGTCAACTACCAGGTGTCGCAGATTTTCAGAATTGAGCGAAAAGGAGAAAAGGCTCGATTCGAGGCTGCTCACACTGCCCCTAGAGCTAGAAAGCTTCTCTGGCACGGCTCTCGTTGCACCAATTTTGGCGGTATCCTGAGTCAAGGACTACGAATAGCTCCGCCGGAGGCTCCGAGGTCAGGTTACAGGTATGCCGTCGAACACCCAGTTCCTTCACCTAGAGCACCCTGTGCCATCTCGGTATAATGGAAGAGTACTAACATATCGTAGTATGTCGTGTTTTTCTTCTTTGCATTTCGTGGGCCAGAGACGTTTGGTACGGGATACTGACAGGGAACAGTGTTTGATAAAGGTATCTACCTAGCGGACATGTCGAGCAAGGTAAGTGTTCTGCCCTGGGCAAGTAGCCTTGAGATGCGAAGAAAGGATATTCATGCCGCGTTAGTCTGCCAACTACTGTTACTCACATAGCAGCAACGGCCACGCTCTACTGCTTCTTTGCGATGCTGAACTTGGAGATCCTCTCCAAAAGCTCGTTCACTCTTCCTCCTACGCCGCAGAGACTGCAAAGGCTGGCAACATGTTGTCAACCTGGGGTCAAGGACGCACGCGCCCGGGACAATGGAAGGATGCTGAGTGCGTCCACCCATCACTCAAGGGTGTTTTAATGGTAAGATGTCGTCCGAATATTTTCCTTCATCCACTACTCTAACTAAAGTCTCTAGCCCGATGTCAGTGTCAAACCTATCGAGGTGAATGTTCCCGGAGGTCTTCAGTACAACGAGTACATCTGCTACGATGTCTCCCAAGTCCGTCTGCGATACTTGTTCAGGGTCAGGATGTAGGGCAAGCTAGACCCGTAGCTCAATATTCGCAGCTGTGGACGTGTCACTAGCTATCGGTGTCATCTATAGCCTTTCTGTTTCTATCTGCTGGGGGCTATTCAAAGGAGAAGTAAGACGCTTTGACCGGTCAAGGTCTTGATCTCTCCTACACAATGCAAGGGGTTATACGAGGAGATGTAGCATCGAGGATGGCTCAACGCCTGAGAATTAGCTACATAAGAGGATTATTGCCCGGATGCCGGCTTTGATGAGAAATGATAAACGTTAACATTAGCGAAAGGAATTTAAGTCTGCATGATGCCTTCAAGAACCTTCAGATATTGGTATGTGACTCCAGCCAAGCGACAAGTCAAGCAGACATTTCGTGTGGATTGGCTTGTAAATCGAGTAAGCTGGTCATTAATACGATATTATACATGATACACACTTAGACTCGCTCACACGAAAACTCTATAACTTGCTGGAGGAATAAAAAATATCCCTATCACGATAAGCACCAAGTAAGCCGGTATCTAGAGGAGATGAACATTTGATTGATTCTGGCACAAAAGAAGAAAAAAAGGAGTTGCATTTCCCAGTGATCTGGGAAGCATCAGGAATTGAGCCCGATGCGGGGGTCGAACCCGCAACCTTGAGATGGCGAGTAAACCGCGCTGGTATAAGAGTCTCACGCTCTACCGATTGAGCTAACCGGGCATACGAGACTAGACGAGAAATCCATGGCTGGAATCCCAATCGATGACAGTACAAGATGCTACTGTTGCTTAAGAGTAATCTGAGCTGGGCAGGAGGGTTGACACGAAAGGCCCGCATGTTTGTTGTTAGTTTGGAAGATTTTTTTTTTTTTTTCATCCGGCCTCATTGTGGAGTTGGGTATCGACGGAGCTCTGGAAATTAGTTACGTGATAGCGGTGGTTAGCAATCTCGCAAGGGGCAGGGTCAGGCATGTAATCATGGTAGAGAGGATTGGATATAGCTTCAGTCATGTGGTGGTTTAGAAGCAATCTATGATGCCTAAGTGACTATGGTAAACACTACATAAACAAATACCCTGCCATGAGAAGAAGCAAAAACCCCCCATCAAGCTTCGACATATACACTATGCGTAGGCTCTTGAGGACATAACCAGCCTAACCGACGACCTTAAACTCCTAGAGAAACAGACATATATCGTAAGTGCTATAGTCTAAAGTGACGACAGCACCGCCCCAAGACAGAGGCGCAAGGCAGTAATAACAGACTGTCATTGACGATGCAGAATGTATACTACTGAATCCTACGTGTAAAGACATGCTTTACTACTCCGACATTAAACCGCTGCGTCAACCTCGACCGCCCTGACGCGGGGCATGCAGAACGCCGTTGCTTTCCTTTGGCGGGTTGGCCATGGAGTGTGAGAATGCTCGAGAATGCCCTTAAAAGAAAACGCCGTCTACCATGCAAATTTCCACCGCCCCTATAGGTCCGCTTCCTAAAACAAAAACCCACGGTCTAGATAGATTCTGGGGGGGAACAGACAAGAGCACACCGACGAGCCAACATACCATAGTAAACTGTCACTTTGTCCAACTACCTCGTGTTGGCAGCAGCTGAGCGGGTAGGCCGTTTAACGACCTAGCCGTCGTTTCCGCTCTTCCTTCTCTCTCTTGAGCTTCTCCTCCAGTGCCTGCTCTCGTCTGTCTTCCTCGCGTGCCACCTTTTCGGCTCTGCGCTCCTCCACGTCGATGTCGGACAGCCCGGCTTCCATATCACTAGAAGCGTCCGAGTCATAGCCGTAGCCGCCGCCACCACCGCCGCGAGGGTCGTCTTCCTCGTCGTCATAATCGATGAAGTCGTCCATCTCGTCATCATACTCTTCTTCGTACCGATCTCGGCGGCTTGGCTTTGGAGGTGCCAGGAGCCCGGACTTGTATGAGGAGGGCTCTTTTCTAGATGACGGCTTGCGAGATGCTGCACCAGGACGGGGACGTGCGGTTCCAGTATAGCCCGTGGTGGCCGTGGCAGACTTCTTCTCTCTCTTCGCTAAGGGCTGAGCTCCAAGTGAACCGGATCCTTGCTTGCTGCTGGCATTCGTGCTCTTTGGGACATCACCCCGACTTCCTTCACGAGAGGCCATTCCAGGCCGCTTCGCTTCGCGGGTGGACGCACCGGACGGACGGCCGTTTCCCTGATAAGCCTTTCCGCCCTTCCCCTTGGCTGCTCCAGGCTTCTGCTCGCCCTTCACGGTTCGCTCTTTCTTGCTAGTCTCGAGAGACTTGTGCTGAATCATGCCAACTTTACCCATGTTAGCTTGAGCCTTCTTCGCACGCTCCATTATCTCCTGATATGACCCCTTCTTGGGCGCCCTGGAGGGGTCGGAAGTAGTTGGGGTTGTGGGTGAGGGTCTTGCGGCAGGCGCTCGAGAAGCAGGTACCTGAGAGTTGACGTTCAGTTTTGGGCGCGGAGCGGAACTCGAGGACTGCTTCTGAGGGGCCATGTTAGATGATGACCTTGGCAAAGGTCTTCCGGTCGAAGACGTCCCCGCACGCTGTCCATTTGGCACGGGAGGTTCGTAGCGGCCATTTGTTGACGGCGAATTCGTGCGGTCCGGTAGAGAGGGTCGAGAGGGTACGCTGGGGGTAGATTTAGGTCGGCTGATGGCATTCGCTTTCACATCGCGGATGGCCTTGCCTGCCGAATAGGAACTGTCTTGTTGTCGGGATTTAGCGACCTTGGCTGACGATGAATTCTGGGATTCGTCTTCGGCCTTGCGCTTAGGGGTAGAAGATGCGGCCGGCTTCGGGGCAGAGGACGAGTTCCCGCCCGAAATCTCGGCGAGGAGATCACCAATCTATTTGCGCAAAGTGTTAGCATCTAGTAGGTACCCTTGGGCATGGAGGAGGGACTGAGGGAGAGGCCGGAAATGCAAGACCAACAGGCATAATGAAAAGCTTCGCCGCGTGTTAGATAGCGTAGGTGCCTTTGGCGAGTGACTCGGTTGCCGTCAGGAGCGTGCGATGTGCCTGAGGCGTCATATGTCGGCGGGCTGTGTCATATGCGATGGCTCTACTTTTTTTCAAGGCAAGACCCGATGCGACGTGGAAACGGGCGTGAATCTAAGGCTAAAGATTCAGTAGTCGACCCTGGGTATTTCGGTTATAGAGAACCTCTACCTAGCCAACGAATGCGGCTGCTGATGAAGCGCACAAAGAAGGCAGGGATCGAGAGGCTTGCTATGTGCTTGGGTGATAAGAGGCCCGGGCTTGAACAGAAGAAAGAAAGTCTGGTGCCGTTTGCTCCTAAGAAAAGCGTACTTGGTACGAAAGTACTCGCAAAGGGACTGGGCCGGAGTCGACATAAACAAGTATTAGCAGGATGGAGGGCGTAGGTTTGCCTAAGAGAGTGCTAATTCTTTTGCGTACAGCCGCGCCCAGTTGGCCTTGGCTTGTGCTGGCAAACAATAGTGTGGCTGGGCTACGTCACTTAGCGGCGGGTATTGCGCCACACTTGCTATTGACACCTTAGATGCATAATATTGCGATAGAGATACCTGATAGCCGACCCTAATCAGGTGATAGGCGAGGACCCACCCGCACCCCGATACTGGATATCCGCCCACAGTCCCGCGCTTCCCAAAAAATATTCAAGGAACTTTTCTGGCCGAGCAGAGTCAACTTTCTTCACAAACTCGTCACACCGAACTCAACCTCAGAACTCGAAGGCTCAGTCTCCGCCCTAATTCGCGGTTAAATCGATTGATTTCTCGTGTTCTTCCCATCTCTTGTAAGTAATCATCTTTCCCGTCATCAGTTTCCAGGGCGCATCGAATTCGACATTGCGATTCTTCCCCTTCGCACCCCGCTATATCTCGACTGCGAAAAGAGACATCCACCGAAACAGAAGATCAACCCTTATCTAACAAAGGACACATACAGAACAAAAAAACAATCAAAATGAAGCACCTCGCAGCTTACCTCCTTCTCGGCCTCGCCGGCAACTCGTCGCCCTCCGCTGGCGACATCAAGGGAGTCCTCGACTCCGTCGGTATCGAGGCCGACGACGAGCGTCTGGAGAAGCTCCTGTCCGAGCTTGAGGGCAAGGACGTCAACGAGGTTTGACTGCCCGGAACTATAATGCTATATGGAATGGACTGACGCAACCCGGCAGCTGATTTCTGAGGGCACTACCAAGCTCGCTTCCGTTCCCTCTGGTGGTGCCGGTGGCGCTCCTGCTGCTGGTGGCGCCGCTGCCGGTGGTGCTGCCGCCGAGGAGAAGGAAGAGGAGAAGAAGGAAGAAGGTATGTCTCCCTACAGCTCTCTTGTATGCGATTTGTATAGTATTCTTACACATGGCTACAGAGAAGGAGGAGTCCGACGAGGACATGGGCTTCGGTCTGTTCGACTAAGCTATCCCCGCCAATGTTTACGACAGGGACGAAGCAATGCATCTTTGGAGAAGTGGCACGAAAATGGGCTGAGGTGGTATGGCATGGTATCCGGCGTGGAAGGGTCTGCGTTTGATCGGTTCTTCATGAATCAGGTTCTGCTATGGCTATGGCATCTAGAGACGGTTAAGGCAAAAAAAATACAGCCCAGCTTCTTCAAAAATTTCTGGTTTATTATTGTGAATTCTTCATGGTCTCATCTACTATGTAGTACTGACTCTTGTTCGGTCGACACCACGAGCTTGACAAGTTTACCTGCAACTTGGCGTATACCGCACTGTCGAGACTGTCTACGAGACTGTCTACGACCTACTGCCAGCATATATACCTAGATGCACTTAAGTACAGTTCACAGGTAAGCATCTATGCACATAGTAGTGCCAAGACGATGGCGACTTGGTATTAAATCTGGTTTTAGCGATACCTGCCTAGCTGCCAATGCCTTGGTACGGTGTCAGGGTAGTGGTGGGGTATGCGCAAGGTAGGTTATTTATTTATGAGACAGCGAGATCTCTTAATTATCGTGCATAATGCATGTTGACAGGCAAGGCAAGCTGATTGAGCTGTGTACTGCTGCGTAAACTTCCTCGGCCCATTTGGGACCCAGATGCAATTAACCCACTCGTGGTGGCGTGACGTGATTGGCTACTAGCGGGGGAATGTTACCGTTGCTCCTGGCAACGGGGTAAAAACGAAAAAAAGGGGACAGGGAGGCTGTGGATCATCCGGAAACATCCTTTCAGAGGCATGAACGCGCCAATTACTTGGACATTGCACGCCCCCCCCCCCCATTCCTCCAATCCTGCTACCAAATTCCAATGTTTTTGCATCATGACCTGCTTCGACACGTAAAACATCAATTAATTCGATAGAAACGCCAACATATTCGCCAATCCGACGCGCTTTGCGTTCGATCCTCGAGGCCACACATCCACCTCTACACAACAGCAGTTTACATCCTAATGGCGTCTGCAATACCGGCGCCCGCAGCGTCCAGTCACGATTCCGCCGCCGTGGCGCGGAAGTCGTCGCTAAGATCGGGGCTGAGGAAAGTCTCGTCGAGGCCACCACTCGGCCGTGCCGAGTCGAACCCAGCACCGTCGGCTCACGGGCCCAAGGCACAGTTCCGCGAGAACGACAGTTCCGACGACGAGATTCCTGTGCCTATGAAGCTCAGCGCTCTGACCAAAGCCCTGCTCAACGACCAAGGTACCGAACTGGAGCGGGACGGTGGACGCGTCCTTCGAACTCGAGCTCAGAGCCACCGCCCTTC